AAGTTGAATGTTTATGCCGAACATACACAACGGCATAAACATCAAAATTGAATGTTTATGCCGAACATATACAACGGCATAAACATCTAAGTTGAATGTTTATGCCGAACATATACAACGGCATAAACATCCAAGTTGAATATTTATTGATTGAGATCACTAGTTCAGATCAATGCAGTATGTTCGTGAACACGTGGTACAGTGGTAGAAACCACAGACGTCAAATGCGAAATGGATCGATTCTCGCCGAACAATTTTTTATATTTTCGCACCAAGAAATATTCGGAAATTACTAATTCTTTTTTTTTCTCCAAAAATATTTCCTCAGGTTGAAAGCAAACGGTATATTCCTACTTACCTTAGCCAAATGTTTATGCGGAACATATTCAACGCCATAAACATCTGAGTTGAATGGCTATGCCGATCGGAGTCAACGCCATAACCATCTAAGTTGAATGGTTATGCCGAAGACAGTCAACGGCATAACCATCCAAGTTGAATGGTTATACCGAAGGCTGTCAACGGCATAACCGTCCAAGTTGAATGGTTATGCAGAAGACAGTCAACGGCATAACCATCCAAGTTGAATGGTTATGCCGAAGGCAGTCAACGGCATAACCATCCAAATTGAATGGTTATACCGAAGGCAGTCAACATCATAACCATCCAAGTTGAATGGTTATGCTGAAGACAGTCAACGGCACAACCATCCAAATTGAATTGTTATGCCGAAGACAGTCAAGGCATAACCATCCAAATTGAATGGTTATGCCGAAGACAGTCAACTGCATAACCATCCAAGTTGAATGGTTATGCCGAAGACAGTCAATGGTATAACCATCCAAGTTGAGTGGTTATGCCGAAGACAGTCATCGGCATAACCATCCAAGTTAAATGGTTATGCCGAAGACTGTCAACGGCATAACCATCCAAGTTGAATGTTTATGCCGAAGACAGTCAACGGCATAACCATCCAAGTTGAATGGTTATGCCGAAGGCAGTCAGCGGCATAACCATCCAATTGAATGGTTATGCCGAAGACAGTCAACGGCACAACCATCCAAATTGAATGGTTATGCCGAAGACAGTCAACTGCATAACCATCCAAGTTGAATGGTTATGCCGAAGACAGTCAATGGTATAACCTTCCAAGTTGAGTGGTTATGCCGAAGACAGTCATCGGCATAACCATCCAAGTTGAATGGTTATGCCGAAGACTGTCAACGGCATAACCATCCAAGTTGAATGTTTATGCCGAACATATACAACGGCATAAACATCTAAATTGAGTGTTTATGCCGAACATATAGAACGGCATAAACATCTAAGTTGAATGTTTATGCCGAACATATAGAACGGCATAAACATCTACGTTGAATGTTTATGCCGAACATATACAACGGCATAAACATCTAAGTTGAATGTTTATGTTTATGCCGAACATATACAACGGCATAAACATCTAAATTGAATGTTTATGCCGAACATATACAACGGCATAAACATCCAAGTTGAATATATATTGATTGAGATCACTAGTTCAGATCAATGCGGTATGTTCGTGAACATGTGGTACAGTGGTAGAAACCACAGACGTCAAATGCGTAATGGATCGATTCTCGCCGAAAATTTTTTTATATTTTCGCATCAAGAAATATTCGGAAATTTTTTTTTCTCCAAAAAATATTTCCTCAGGTTTAAAGCAAACGGTATATTCCTACTTACTTTAGCCAAATGTTTATGCGGAACATATTCAACGCCATAAACATCTGAGTTGAACGGCTATGCCGATCGGAGTCAACGCCATAACCATCTAAGTTGAATGGTTATGCCGAAGACAGTCAACGGCATAACCATCCAAGTTGAATGGTTATACCGAAGGCAGTCAACGGCATAACCGTCCAAGTTGAATGGTTATGCTGAAGACAGTCAACGGCATAACCATCCAAGTTGAATGGTTATGGCGAAGGTAGTCAGCGGCATAACCATCCAATTGAATGGTTATGCCGAAGACAGTCAACGGCACAACCATCCAAATTGAATGGTTATGCCGAAGACAGTCAAGGCATAACCATCCAAATTGAATGGTTATGCCGAAGACGTCAACGGCATAACCATCCAAGTTGAATGGTTATGCCGAAGACAGTCAATGGCATAACCATCCAAGTTGAGTGGTTATGCCGAAGACAGTCAACGGCATAACCATCTAAATTGAATGTTTATGCCGAACATATACAACGGCATAAACATCTAAATTGAATGTTTATGCCGAACATATACAACGGCATAAACATCTAAGTTGAATGTTTATGCCGAACATATACAACGGCATAAACATCTAAATTGAATGTTTATGCCGAACATATACAACGGCATAACCATCTAAATTGAATGTTTATGCCGAACATATACAACGGCATAAACATCTAAATTGAATGTTTATGCCGAACATATACAACGGCATAAACATCTAAGTTGAATGTTTATGCCGAACAGATACAACGGCATAAACATCTAAGTTGAATGTTTATGCCGAACATATACAACGGCATAAACATCTAAGTTGAATGTTTATGCCGAACATATACAACGGGATAAACATCTAAGTTGAATGTGTATGCCGAACATATACAACGGCATAAACATCCAAGTTGAATATTTATTGATTGAGATCACTAGTTCAGATCGATGCGGTATGTTCGTGAACACGTGATACAGTGGTAGAAACCACAGACGTCAAATGCGTAATGGATCGATTCTCGCCGAAAATTTTTTTTATATTTTCGCATCAAGAAATATTCGAAAATTACTAATTCTTTTTTTTTTCTCCAAAAATATTTCCTCAGGTTGAAAGCAAACGGTATATTCCTACTTACTTTAGCCAAATAAACATGCGGAACATCTTCAACGCCATAAACTTCTGAGTTGAACGGCGTCATAAACACGATCAACTTTGGTGTTTATGACGTCGATATGCGACGTCATACAAACACCATCAACTTTGGTGTTTATGACTTCGATATGCGACGTCATAAACACCATCAACTTTGGTGTAACACGATCAACTTTGGTGTTTATGACGTCGATATTCGGCGTCATAAACACGATCAACTTTGGTGTTGATGACGTCGATATTCGACGTCATAAACACGATCAACTTTGGTGTTTATGACGTCGATATTCGACGTCATAAACACGTTCAACTTTGGTGTTTATGACGTCGATATTCGACGTCATAAACACGATCAACTTTGGTGTTTATGACGTCGATATACGACGTCATAAACACGATCAACTTTGGTGTTGATGACGTCCATATTTGACGTCATAAACGCCATCAACTTTGGTGTTTATGACGTCGATATGCGACGTGATAAACACCATCAACTTTGGTGTTTATGACGTCGATATTCGACGTCATAAACACGATCAACTTTGGTGTTTATGACGTCGATATACGACGTCATAAACACGATCAGCTTTGGTGTTGATGACGTCGATATTCGTCGTCATAAACACGATCAACTTTGGTGTTTATGACGTCGATATTCGACGTCGTAAACACGATCAACTTTGGTGTTTATGACGTCCATATTCGACGTCATAAACACGATCAACTTTGGTGTTTATGACGTCGATATTCGACGTCATAAACATTCAACTTGCCGGTGTTTATGACGTCGATATTCGACGTCATAAACATTCAACTTGCCGGTGTTTATGACGTCGATATTCGACGCCATAAACACGATCAACTTTGGTGTTTATGACGTCGATATTCGACGTCATAAACCCGATCAACTTTGGTGTTTATGACGTCGATATTCGACGACATAAACATTCAACTTGCTGGTGTTTATGATCTCGATATTCGACGTCATAAACATTCAACTTGCTGGTGGTCTTTGCGTTTCGTATACACAAACCAACCCCAACCCCCCTCGGTTAGGGTTAGGGTTAGGTTAGGGTTATATATATATATATATATATATATATATATATATATATATATATATATATATATATAT